TGGCCTCCTCCTCTGACGAGCAGAGTTAAAAGATACTTCATGACAATCACTGAAAGAAAAAGCAGCCTCTGAAGATACTGATGTGATTAGGGTGAGGGGCCAGGGACTTGTCATGAGTGCTAGAAGAGCACTTTATAACCACAGCAAATCAGTAAGTTTGGGCTACATGACATAGCAGAGGAGAAGTGATGTGATGTGAAATATGAGTTGGGGAAGCATGTAAAAGGGAGGGAAGTGATTTAAAGAGAGGGAAGGCAGATTTAAAACTGGATTTTTATTTTCGAGTGTTATCAATGTGTGAGTTAACTAGGAGGATGATGATTTTCTTTGCTGAGTCTTTGAATTCTCTGTACCTTTACTTCAGTGTTGTGCTGCTAACACATGTCCGCACAGCAAAATGTGCAGATGTGAGTTCTCTGTGTGCCTCAGGCCTATGAAAAGCTGTATTAGCACAGCACTAAATCTAGCCTAATGCACCCTATCCCTCAGCAAGGACTAATAACTCAGGGGCAGCTTCATGCCAACAGCTTTTGAGCTGCCTAGAATTGGAGGCAAAGTGAGTTTTATCTTCCCACAACGTACTTCGTAGAGCTATCCATATTGGGTGTAATATGGCAGAAGGATTAAAAGCTTTCTTAACATATGATTTTGCTTTTTGCTGGTATATGTCAAAGTGCTTTGCAAACGGGGCAAGCATCCCTGTCCGTATTTCATGATATGCAATACCAGGACAAGCAAAATATAGTGCTTACCCCTAGTTACAGGTCAGGTCAGGTCTGGAGCGTGGTTCAGATCTCCATTACCCTATCCATGGCTTCACCAAGGGCAAGTCCTGCCTGACCAACCTAGTGGCTTTCTATGAGTGGACTTCTTTTCAAGAGTGGACAAGGGAAAACCAATGGACGTCATCTATCTGGATTTTTGTAAAGCCTTTGACACGGGCCCCCACAACATCCTTCTCTCTAAATTGGAGAGCCATGGATTTGATGGGTGGACTGTTCGGTGAATAAGGAATTGGTTGGATGGTTGCAGCCAAAGGATAGTGGTCAACGGCCCAATGTCCAGATGGAGACCGGTGACAAGTGGAGTCCCTCAGGGGTCCGTACTGGGACCGGTGCTGTTCAATATATTTATCAATGACATGGACAGCGACATCGAGTGTACCCTCAGCAAGTTTGCAGATGACACCAAGCTGAGTGGTACGGTTGATACACCAGAAGGATGGGATGCCATCCAGAGGGACCTGGACAAGCTGGAGAGGTGAGCCTGTGGGAACCTCATGAAGTTCAACAAGGCCAAGTGCAAGGTCCTACACCTGGGTCGGGGTGATTCTGCCCCTCTACTCTGCTCTGGTGAGACCTCACCTGGAGTCCTGCGTTCAGCTCTGGAGCCCTCAGCACAAGAAGGACGTGGAACTGTTGGAGCGGGTCCAAAGGAGGGCTACAAAAATGATCCGAGGGCTGGAGCACCTCTCCTATGAGGACAGGCTGAGAGAGTTGGGCTTGTTCAGCCTGGAGAAGAGAAGGCTGCGGGGAGACCTGATGGCAGCCTTTCAGTACTTAAAGGGAGCCTATAGGAAAGATGGGGACAATCTTTTTAGTAGAGACAGCAGTGACAGGATGAGGGGTAATGGTTTTAAACTAAAACAGGGTAGGTTTAGGCTAGATATAAGGAAGAAATTCTTTACAATGAGGGTGGTGAAACACTGGAACAGGTTGCCCAGAGAGGTAGTGGAGGCCCCATCCCTGGAAAGATTGAAGGCCAGGTTGGACAGGGCTCTGAGCAACCTGATCTAGTTAGTGGTGTCCCTGCTCGCTGCGGGGGGGTTGGACTAGTTGACCTCTAGGAGTCCCTTCCAACCCAAAACTTTCTATGATTCTATGATTCTATCCACTAGACCATAGTGTGTGTCTAACTGGCAGTTGCAGGATTGTTCGGATTCTGCACTAATATTCAGCTCCATAACTCCTTATATTAAATCCTGTCCACAACAGTCAAAATGTCCACAACAGTCAAATCAGAAACACTGCAGTGCATTCTACACAGTCTGATTTTTTTCTAGTTTAATACCTACAAAATCAAAGCAAAATTATGTCAATCTATTGTGAACATGTGCAGAATTTTGATCTCTGTATGTTGGAGTAAGTAATAACAGTGCCGCTATAAAAACAGGCATCGATTGTCACACATGAGGTTTCATATCTTTACATAGAAAACTAAGGAAAAGCTCCTAAAGCTAATTTCTTCTAAGTATTTTTTGGTTACAAATTAATTAATATTCTAATTAGCTTTAAGAAGTTGATTGTATGCTAGACACAATGTTCTACATTCTTCTATCTACCTTTGTGGCTGAACTTCATTTTCCGAAAACGTGATAAAACATTAATGACACTTCCCAGCCCAGAATTTAAGCCTGATTTAACTTGGTTAGCTTTTGGGGCATTGTATCAGGGACTCATTTGGATTTACATATTTCAGGTTGTTTTACATATGTAGCAAGAACTGTGCTGTTTAGAAAAATGTGGTGCCATCATGTGGACAATATTAAGAAGTGTAAAAAACAGTTTTTAAAAGAAAAACTAGGTAACAGATAGATATTTGTATTGGGTATCACAACTCAGCTGAATTATAAATATGTGTTATGTGATACAAGAACCTATGCACAAATCCATACTTTTCAAATTTATTAGATAAGAAGAAAAATTGATAATGGAATCTGGAATTGTTGATTCAATCCTGTTTACTTTCCAGTAGCTCGGCAAGTCTTTTCCCATGAGCACAGACCGATCAAAACACGCACAAGAGTCTCCAAACCACTTCTAATCAGCACTAATTCCAACATCATCTACTTCTGTACTCTTTTCTGTATCTGTTTATCTCTTGGTTTTCCTCTAAGACTTTACAGCACTTGTTTTTGTTCAGCCTGCGTTTCTTCTCCCCCACACAAATGCACACACGCTCACACAAACACTCCTATCCATAACACTAGCCGGCCAAGGCTCTCTGCCCACACAGTTCTCATTCCTGCAGGAGTTCACATGAAGCTTTGTTTCAGCAATGGTTTTGGTTTCAGGCCTCTCCTTATTTCTCACATATAATCCAGAGGAAAAAGACTTTGCTGGATTCAAAACAGCTATCCGCAATACCAATAAATGTCCACAACAGTCAAATTAGAAACACTGCTGTGTACTCACACAGCCTAAGTTTTTCCTAGTTTAATACCTAAAAAATCAAAGCAGAATTACATCAGCCTATTGTTAAAATGTGTAGTTTTTTAATCTCTGTAAGCTGGAGTAATAAAAATGCCTCTATAAAAACAGGCATCGTTAGCCACACGTCAGGTTTTATAACTTTACATAGGAAGTGAAAGAAAAACCTTTCTAAACATAATTTCCTCTATAATACCCCATCTATATCAGACCTGTAAAAGCTTGCACATGAAGAGTGCGATTCTAAAACCATCCTCTGTGATACGCTCCCCCCAAGCAAACCTGCCCGTCACGGAACTGTAATCTGTCTCCTGCTCCGAGACCCTGTACGCCAAGTGGTAGTTAGCCAGTCCTGCTGTCTGCTGATTTAATTGATACTGAATAAAGGCAAGAACTTTCAAAGCCTTGCTGGTGGGTTTGAAACCAATACTCTGCTTGGGACAGAACTTGAAGATGCGTTTGGATCAGTCCCTTCTGTGTAAGTTTAGTGGTTTTGTTTTGGTAAAACTTAAAAAGTTTTATTGGACCTTCATGAACATTGAAGATCTTTGGAATCCTTTTTGAGAATGGAGATTCATGTAGTATTTTACTCAGAAATCCACTTTGTGCAGAAAGAGCCCGCTCTTGTGGGACAGTGAAAACTTGAATATGTACACGTGTAGCTTTACTAAAAGGATACAATGGAATGTCATACATTTACAAGATTCTCTGTGGTGCTGTGTCAGCTTCCATATAAAGACAGGTAACTATGAAGTAATGACATCTGTTTTCCATGTCTTTGCATCTCATGCTTGGTTGGTTTTGTTGTTTAAGCAAATGTGAGTTCCAGCTGAAATTTTTACCCTTCTTGTGGTATTTTTTTCATGCGCATTACCTCATGTCTAATCAGCTATGAACATAGACTACAATACTTTTCTTATTGGATAACCTTACAGTGTCTCTTATTCTTTTCCTACTTTTGCATTTATTTTCACGAAACTTGTGGGGGCTTAATTTTCTTTTGACAATTTTACCTCGCTGTCACACTTGGTAGAAATTATTATGGATTGAGAAATTCTGTGGGTGAGATGCAAATGGAATATGGTGATGCATGGAAAAGGCTGTTGGAAGTCTCTAGTCTGTAACACTGTGCTCATGTTCTTGATTACTTGGCACTTCAATGTTTAGAATACCTGGAAAAAGGTAAAAAACTCAATTTATACCTTTTTTACCTAATTCCTATAAATCTGAAGCCAATGTCAAGATAAAGAGACCTCACTTGTAATTTTTTAATAATTTGCAACATTGAGCTAGACAGAGGGTGGAACAAGCTCAACAACCATCTTTCTTTCCAATGAACTTTAAATGTCAAGATATCCCATGATAGCTTGGATGAGTTTGGTTTTCAGTGTTTTGGAAACCGTACACTCACCCTTTTAAAAAGTGTGGCACTGGTTGGGTTTGGGAATAATTGGTTAAATACACTCTGAAAGCCAGTAATTTAGTGAAAATATATTAGATTTTCTGGATTCTGACAGACATCTTTTGCCATTAGTGAATGTGAAAATGAACCCTTCCCGATTCATGAATTTTTGATGTTGTGCACGGTTCATCAAATGTTATTACTTGTTTCTCACTGTATAACCTCAATGAGTTACATGAGATTATGCAATATTACTAATGGTAGACTTTCATTTCCATTTTTAAGACAAACATCTCTAAAACTAAAAACTGAACAAAAACAAAAAAAAGAATCAGAATCTCATCAACCTCTGTCGGCTGTAGTCTGGGATCTTTATATTCTATGTCTCCTCACAAAACTCCTTCTTTCTGATCCCCCTCCGGGCGAGGGTCAGGTCTATCAATCATTGTACGGTCCTCATCGCTGTGATTTCCTGTAACTACTTCCCAGTGATTCTTATCTTCTTCAGCTTTATGGGAGTCCAGATAAGTGTGACAAATTACTTCATATTCTTTTCCAAAATAAGACCTGCAAAGTAAAAGAAAAGGGGATGGGCAGGGGGAATTATTAAACTCAGCTAATCTGCATTATCTGTGAATTTTTCAAGGTTTTCTCATATTTCTCTCGGCTTGCTCAGAAATATCACCATGCATTTTCAAATATCAGAACTTTACAAGAAACGCAATAGCCCACTTTGTTTCCTACGAATAATTTAGGAATGTGAAATCAAAGGGAAATGCCACCTTTCTGGCTTCAGTGGTAAAGCAGCCCATCGGTATAACGCACTGATACACCAGCTCAATACGTACAAGCTGGTTAGGTTCACCCCACCATTCACATCACCATTTCTCTCTGACTGAGGATGACTCTGGCTACTTATTAACTCTTTCAGCCTCAAACTTTCAGACCTTGTTTCGTCCTCAGAAACCGGATACAAATCCTCAGTCAGATCCTGCTCAGAATTTAATGGGAAACAATTGGCTTGCTCCTTAACAATGCTTAAGCAATATTAGTTTAATGCATGCATATTAACTGGAATTGTTGGATTAACTTCAGTTTGTTGAGATTGATTCATGTGGATATAAGTAATATACAGTTTTATGCAGTGTGTTTTTATTTAGTTCTCTACTCTTTACACTTCTCAGTATACCATTTTTTTCTTTGAAATAACCCAAACAACTGTAATTGCTTGAGATATTCAAAGGGAGAACCACCAAGAAACTAGAGAAGCCTAGAAGCATGACGTGATATGAATTAAAAAGAAAACAAATAAGACTGAGTTGATTGTCTACAGCATCACAGTGGCACACACTGAAGCCCAGAAAGAAAATAAAGGAGAATGTGCATTTTGCGTTCTTTTCCATTTCCTCAGTGTGTTCCTAAAGCAAACATCTACTTCTTACAGTAATTCTTGATGTTGGCACATCACTATGCACATCCCTGCCAGTTACAAATTATTTTTACCTTGTCCAAAAGTTCCTTGGAACAGCTAAGCTCCGATTAGTATAGCAATGAGTAATAATAATTTTAGTGTTTGCCTGGGAAAAAAACAACAAGGGAAGACACTTGACACACATTTTTACACTAATTTTACCTATTCTTATTCAAATTAAATGCTTTTATTTCCTGCCTAGTGTAAGCCCGCATTGCTCTGTATCACTCCGAGACTGCTGTGCATTTATAGTGAGACATTTTACACCCTGTCAGTTCTCAACACAACTGTCTTAACAGCACAAACCAGCCAAATGTTTATCCCTCAGGCCAGACATATTCTCCTGCCCAATACATTCCATCCCACTCCCTTGAGCTGAGCACTTTGGGGAAAGAAAAAAAAAAGTCAAGCAAGTAGTAGCGAGTCATTCCAGTGGCCTGTACCATCAGGGTAATTCCTGTTGCAATTGATCTTTGCCAGAAACAGATCTTTATATTTTACCAATTTGCAATTTTTTATGTATAAGAATTAATTTTTACTCACCCTCATATATAGCAATACTGTGAATAAAGAATGTTGTCTTTGACAATTACATAATTTTGACTGTGTTTATTAGTGTAGTATTAGTTTATTAGCTGACTCATGTAAACAAGTCACTGTTCAAGGCTGCACGGGAACAGTTATGCTTGTGATATTTTGCTATACATCCAGCACTTCAGGAATCCCAGCAGTTATGTGGAACAGGAAAATACTGCATCTGCTTAACGTATTTACAAAAGGTTAAAAACCACATTTGGAAAAGCATCAACTTATTCAGATGCCTTGGGGGTTTTTTTTACTATTTCTTAATTTATCGTACAGGAGTTCTTAATTAATCACAGCTCCTGATATTGGAAATGGAATTTAGTGCTCAGAAGTCCTGAAAAGCAGATTCCAAGTACTGCATCCTCAGAACATGATAATGTTGACCTTTAAAAAATTCTGATGAGAAAAACTGAGCAAGTCAACCTCAAGATGAACACTAGAACCTAGCAGTCATATATGCAGATGCTTTGGTTAAAGAGGTTGTTCCTTCCCTCTCCCCATTCTTAAAATTACAGGTCAGAACTTACATAAGAAAAACACGTGAATGAAATGGACATAACTTTTTGCTAAGTACTCCATCTACTGTTTCAATTAAATCTTCATAACATTTTCTACATTTTTAATTTCTTACAGGAACTGGAAATCCTTCATATTCAAGACGCAGCTGTGGATCCAAGCAGGTAGCTTGCCAGCAAGTCAAATAGGAAAGCTGATCTGTCAAAAATACTTGCTGAAGGTAAGATTTTTTAGCAAATCTTATAAATGATTTATGGTCACTTGCTAGATAGAACTGTAAATAAAAATATATATTAAGGACACTACAAATAGAAAAGAAGCAAGATACATAATATTAAAAAATATCTTTCAACACAAAAAATTTTCTCTTAGCTCCTGAAAAATCAGCCTGCCAAGCTAAAGCTACATGTACAAAACCCATAACATAGCTTCTATACTGTTGATAAACTCATTAAGTAGCAGTTCTATATGCAGACTGGTGAATACTAATTTAAAATGTAATTTACATTCCAAACATTCTCTTTCACTGAAGTGGTTGTTAAGAGGGGATATTTTTTCAAAGCTGTGGTGATTTATTTTGAGTGCATATGTAACATGTGATGTCTTACTTGCTTCTAACTTGCAGAGGAAAACGTTAACATTTAATAGAAATCTGCTCTCTCAGAATGATAGAATAGTATGTTGCTTCATATACCTATTACAGATTTGTCTTCATAAGAAATGAAATCTTTTCATTTTGGACTTATTTAAAGTAAAAACAATACCTCCCTCTAGTGATGAATTCTTTCATGATTCACAAACTAATTTTAATTTCTTTTTTTCTTTCCTTTTTTAAAATCTCCTTTATCCAGTCATTCTGGCTGACAGCCCTCTTTGTCTGCACACCTGATCTCAGGCAAGTTGCATAAACTTTCTAAATAGGTATTGCTTATCTTCATCTATATATGATTCTGAATCTGTTCTGTAAATCTAAGATGTTGAACCACTGGGCAGCTTTATGTATATAGTAATTAAGTGCACGCTATCAGTATATGCTACCATTGCCATTTGCAACTTTATTGCGTTACCATTTGGTCAGAAAATGCTCCTGTTGTCCCAAGACGAAAGTTTTGCCCAAATCTAATCGGTTCACCTACTGTGACTCCATCAACACTGTGAAAATTGTAAAAAGGAAGAAAGAGACATTCAAATAAACAGCTTTACTATTCTTCTTTATTGTTGTTTTGGTCTATAGTTAGGTCTTGTGGCAACACTTTGTATTAAGTTTACCTTTAAAAATAGGTATGTTTAAAGTTTACCTTTAAAAATAGGTGAAAAGACATTTCATACTTGACTTACTGGTTAAAATATTAAACAGAGTATAAACTGTATTGATTACTTTTTATGCTAGAAGACTGTATTGATTACTTTTTATGATGTATTCATTAATAAGCAGGATGGAAAGATAACATCCAATGAAAAGTCAATGGGAATTCAGCACTGAGGCTCACTTTAAAATATACTTGCACATCTGAAAAGTCACAGACTAAAAGCAGAACAGTGTGTGTGTTTGTCCGTAACTTAACATATGTTGCTAATAATAAATGTAACTGATGTTCAGTAACTTGGTTTGTTACATCAACATACATGCTGGTATATCGCTATTTCCAGAACGATTTCTGTATTTTACATTAAAGAATAACTAAATTAAGTGCTAGGCTTCCTAAGTTTATCCAGTATAAAAAACTTCTGTAGCTGATGAACTTGGTAGTCAGTTAATGAGGAACTTGATAGCATTCAGTGCCAATGACTCTTAGATCAGATAGCAGCTCAGCAAAAATATTTCGGTTGCAGTTCTAGAAGGTTTAAATTATGGTCTTGGCATCAAAACTCTTTCTTAGGTCTAACCCGAAGTGTTTTGTTCAATCAGGATTATATGCGTTAGTCTGTACTCTTATGCATTACTATGGTTGTTAAATGCACTCAGGCAGGGCCTTGTGGCCCTGAGCAGGACTCTGTTCTTCTGTTTCTTCTCCCACCAACAGCTGGAATTGAATATGTCTTTGAGAGAGAGAACATGCTGTTTTGTTAGGGGGTTTTTTAGGACGAGAGAAACACTGTCCACTTCATGTACAGCAAAAGCATTGACAAATTTCTGCTTCAGAGACCTTATTCACAGCGGAATGAATAATAATACTAAGCGATACTTGGACATGTTTTGTATTCTACAGCTGAAATACGACTGCCTTAAAAACAGCTGCAGAGTTTACCAAATGATGCAGTGCACTTGATTCTGTTTTCACACCAGTTCTAAGCCGATTCATACGTCCTTGGAATTATTCACAGTAACATGCGGAGCAGAATCAAGCTTAATGCATGAGCTAAGTTAAAGAGTCTTTCTTAGATAAATCGATCTTACACAAATTCATTTGTATGTTAGCAAACATTGCGTATTTCTCAAAACAATATATTGAAAGCTCGAACAGTAATGGAAAACCACACAGAATGAAGTATCAAACCTTAAAACACAGAAAGCGTTTCGGCCCACGGGGTCTGTGCTCTCGACTGCGCTGACTTCGCGAGGGGCCAGGCTGCCGCACGTGCCGGGGCCATTCCCCACCCGGGATTCGTTGACTGGGTTCAAAAGCATCACGGTGTCTCCAAAATGAACGAACCCATCCTTGGACACCGAAAGCTGTATCTGAATTAAAATAGACATAATGTTTTACAGAATTACTCGAACCTAGCGACAGAAGTATTTGGTGTATAAAATGCTAATCCACAGCATTCTTAATGCCTAAGGAACACTAACAACAGCTATGCCATTCTGTGTGGCCACAGAGGATTGACATAACCTTTCTCAAAGAATTACCTTCTTTAAAAGCTTATCTTGCATTTTGTTTATTTTCTGTATTAAAAGTTCTCCTCGTTCCCTTTTACGCATAAAATCCCTCAAGCGGTCCTGCAGGAAAGGAGAGAGGGTGCAGACATGTTATCCAGCGCGCTCAGCCTGGGGTTGTTTAAAGAGCCGGGGGGAGCACGGAGCGGCGGAGCGGCCGGCGGGGAGAGGGGGCAC